TGCGACTTACAAAATAAAACAAAAAAAGTTTTGATTATTTGTCATCGTATTTTATTTATTTATACATATAATTAATGTCATTTTAATTTTGTTGGGAGGAGAGTGAGGACGTTTTCTTTTCATTTGCGGATCACACTTTCTTTCTTGAAATAGGATTTAATTTATTTACATAAAAAAATCAACATTATGGTACCAAAAATAGATGGCATCACATTTCGCTAAAAATAAGATTTGAATGAAATGGCACAAACTAAAAAGAACAAGAAACATATGATTGACACGTGAAGTCGTCTTATGAACGAAGTTGGAAATATGTCATTTTCACAAAATTACAACAAGATATACCTATTTGGTTGTTGGATATTGAAAATTGCTTCTTTAAAATACTTCATAGATTATGTATTTGTTAGACACAAATGGATAGTTTACATTTTTATTGTTTTATAATGTCCATTAACTTTTGAAATGAAATTGATGTTTGGTGTTGCATCTATTCCGTTATAGTTGAATTGATAAAATTCATAATTATTAGATAAAAAAATAAATGTTCATAAATATATTCACCTTTAAAAAAAAAAAGAATTAAAACTTGTGAGATGTTTTTTTTGTAGTAAAAAATTATTTATATAAAAGGTTAATTGTTAACTATTTTAGACTTCTCGGCCCTCATAACAAATATCTAACGAACAAATCCATTGTTTTGGCTATCATTTTTTTTAGATGTGAGCATGGAATAAAAGCTAAAACATGTTTAATTAATTTAAAATTTGGATTAAGACATCTAACTATTCAAAAAGTCACCTTTTAAACCAATTAGAATAAAACCAAACTTGATTTGATAATACATTAATTTATAAGTATTCAATAAATTATTTGAACATGATTTCATTAGAAGCTCATCGCTATCAATAGGTTTATAAGCATTAACATAGGAACGAAATGACTAATGAGCACAAGAGATTTGTTTTCTATCGTTTGAATTAATATTGATTTAGAGCAAAAACAAACAAATAAGTATTGAGTCAAAAAAAGCTTTCAACAAATAGACAAACAGCTTTCTATGGATGGTTTTTTTTTTCTTCTTTTTAATATTGGTTATGAATTGATTTTAATTATAAACAAAATATATTAATAGATGAGTTTTAATGAAAGCCAGAATTGCAAGTTGCACAAGGACTTCGGAAGGGGGGGGGGGGAAATGGAGCAATAACTTTAGAATAGATCCAAAGTTAGGGTAGCTATGAGAAGAAGGCAGAGTGAAATAGATTTGTAGGGGCTTTTAGGTTATGGACCAAAATGTGTAATAAATACAAAGCTCACCAAACATTTTCTTAAGCTACAAAAGTCTCATGGAAAGTCACCATTGTTAACCTAAAGTGGAACCACATGTCCACTCTAAAACCCATGCTGTGGTGTTTGCTTTACTCTCCTCAAGTCTTTTTCCACTAGCCTTTTCTAGCCTACAAGATGGGATTTGGGTCCATTTTTTCCCCACCCAAAATACACAATAGGTATCCGAGTTATTAATTGAAATGCGATATGTGGTCACCACGTTTCTTCAAAAACTTGTCATTGGAAGTGAAGGTGTGAGTGGGATTGGCTGCTTCAATTGCTGTGGCCAAAGGACGGACCACAGCCTGATCCTGAAAGGTCGATGAAAGAAACCCAATGTCTTGGGGTTGTGTTTCTGTTTCTTATTATGATCGCAGAGTTTTCTCGCAATAAATTCATTTCAGGTTCTAAAGTGAGGTAACTCTCACCACACGTACACAAGCTCTCGAGTTCGACACGTGAGTAGGACTTTGAATTTTGGAGCCATAATTTATTTGGTCATTACCAAGAGTCAAACATGCATCATCTACTTTTGGTCCACACTCATCTAGCACCAATGTAATATTAGATTCTCTATTTTCCTTTTCTTTTTCTGTTTCTTTTCTCCTTCGAAAAGACTTATTTAATATATACCTTAATCATTTTATTTTAACTTCCGGGTAAGTTTTGGTATTAACTACTCCAATCTATTCATAAAAAAATTATTGATCTATGTAACAAAAGATAGCATTTTTTTTTTCTTCTTATCCTTTATTCTTGTCATATTCCAATAGTGCTTTCGAAAGAACTTGTTTGCCTTAACAACGACCGCATTCACATAAGGCTCTAACACAAATAAATGACTACCATTTTCATACAATTTCACATATTTGAATTAAAAAAAAAAAGTTTTGAAAATAATTCAAAATTATTTGAATGAATTAAATTATAGAAAATAGGTTTTTGAAAAATAAGCTTGGGTTTTCGATGTAATGGTAGTAGTTACGTATTAGGAAGTTAAAATATGATTAATTAGTCATTAATTAATTTGTTGGAAGAGTGTCAAACATCTAATATAAGTAACAGGTCTAGAGGGTAGAGGTATGATAAAAGATAATAACAATAATAATGATAACAATAAAGAGGGAGAGAGGGAGAGAGGAAGAGACATACAAGCACACGAGTCTTCCTGATGAAGATTTATTTGAGAAAAGTAAGTTGAATGAGATTAAGGATGTTGACATTAATAAATTGATTTAGCCCTTTTTAAAATATTATTTGTAACGGTAGTAAGAAAATATTGAATAATATAAAAAAATAAAATAAGTGAAAAAAATTGGGGCACTCGTGTGTGGTGATCACTTTGGGGTTGGTACCCACTTTTACCAAAGCCAATCATCAAATGTTATGCACACGCACAGTTAAAAGCTATAAATTAAGGGGTGCGATGGGGATTGAGTACGCATCTCTTCATGCGTGTCATTAAAGAATGAGGTTAAAGTTTATTTTTTTATTTTAAGGAGTGCACTTTGCTTTACCCACAGCCTGCTTCAAGTTCAAGGCATGTAAAACCTAAACCAAAACTTTAAAGCTTGCTACTTGCATTATTATTATGCTTTTTTATTTTTTTATTACAACTTTTCTACTTTGATATAATATTAAGTTATATATATCTCTATACTAATCTGATAATTCTTTATGACTTTTATTTATTTTTTGTTTCATCTAAAGTACTTAAATACTAGTAGGGATGATTGTTGTTCTATTTAAGCATATGAAAAAATTGGTGGAGGTGTTAAATTTGTGTAGGGAGCAGTTTGGTGGGGGGGGGGGGGGGGGGGGGGGGGGGGGGGGGGGGGGGGGGGGGGGGGGGGGGGGGGGGGGGGGGGGGGGGGGGGGGGGGGGGGGGGGGGGGGGGGGGGGGGGGGGGGGGGGGGGGGGGGGGGGGGGGGGGGGGGGGGGGGGGGGAGAATCAGAGATGCCTGGAGAGAGTTAGACAACAGTGGAAAATCCAAAATTGCTTACGTTTGGAGGTCCCCCCAACTCTCCCCCTTTTCATTTGCCCCCTGGGTTGTCGTGAAGCAAAAGAAAAAAAAAAATAGTGGTATAAATAGTCTAATCAATTTTCAGACAGAAGTCCCATATTTGAAGAGTTTTAGAAGCAGAAACTTTGTGTGTTAAACTATCATGATACAGTTATAGATTATTCGAGAACATCTGGTTGTTGTTGGCTTACCAAATCAATGACTTAATCAATCATCACTATTAGTTCTTCTGGAGAGTATGGCCTTTTCACGCAGTGGTTGATATGTAGAGAGTTTAGTTTTAGGGACAGGCGTGAGTGTGTGTGCGTGTGTGTGTGTGTGTGTAGTGAGAATGTTCAGAAAATTACTCCAACAACAACGGGAGATGAAGGATGAAAGGAAGAACATTCCATGCAGAAGAGAGTTTCAAAATTCAAAGGGAAACTGACACCAAAAGTGCCAATTCAAAAAAGCCCAATGCTTTGGCTGTCAAAACTCAAAACACCACCCCCTCGCTGCACGTCCCATCTGCCTTGCCTTTTACTTTTCTTTACACTTGCAAACTTACCCTACCCCAACTACAGAGCTACACATTTAAGTTTTGACCAAGCTACACTCACATTACTGTTTACTTATGGAGTTTCACGCAAAAGGTTCATTCATTTCAACCAAAGTCATTGGAATAATAATGCACATTTAAGATCCGGGAGAGCTACACATTTAAGATTTATGTTTAAGAGTTTTAAGTATCATATGATTGTTTGACTGAGTGCCTTCTGCCATCTGTTTTTAAAAACTTGAATGGAATCCACGTATCCAAGCATTGTACAAGGATTTTCTTACTTGCAAATTGAGTTAAATCTTGAAACTATCTGGGGGAGAGAGAGCCAGAGAGAGAAAAGTTGGGATAAAACCTCTCAAAAAGCTGATTCTATGTTGGCCACTCAAGTCATGTATCTTGCAGAAATAATCTGAACCATATTTCAATTTAACCTACACAGAATCTTTTTTTTTTTTTTTTTTTTTTTTAAAGAACCTTCTTTTGAAAGAGTTGTGAGAATCTAGTAGAAATTCAAACCACTGGAAATTGAATTAAAAAGCTTGTGTATTGGCACCATCATTTGACTTTGCTGCAGAAGCAATAATCATATATCATGTGTTGTAACAGATAAATAAACAGCAAATTTAAGAATTTTGAGTCTAATTGCATTGAATCAAAGAAAGGGAGTGGATGATAGAGGAGTGTAATAAGGGAAATCGACACCGCATCAAACACGTGCATCAAATGAAATTACAATGTGTTCTTATCTATAGTTATTATTTGTGGGCCTAAAGAAGGTTTGTTTAATGAGAACGATGTCTTTGACTTTGTTGTAATGACAGTTTAGGCACTTACCTTTCTTCGTTCTTCATATTTTTTAATTTGATGTTACAATGGATAATGTTGTTTTACTAGAACGCCCATAAAATTTATGAGATTTGATTTCTATGTTTTATTTTAGGCACATATTGGTGGATTGCAAATTTTGATCTAATGTTAGTAGTTAATTTAAATTAACAATAAATAAATATGAACCCAATTACAATTTTAAATCTTAAATAAGCTATCAATCACACATTAAAAAAAATTACAACTTAAAAATTCAGAGAGGAAGTTGTCCAAATCTGTACCAGAATTTGGTAATCTCCTAACCTGAATCAAACCGGCCCAAAAGGCGGTTTTTAGGGTTTCTTCAATTTTGGATCGGACTGCCACTCTGAGCATCGTTCACTCTCTCTGCCGCTCGCATTTCTTGTCTCACTCGCACTAAGCCGCCGTTGCCCTCGACTACTCGCCTGCCATCGCCATCTACTCATTACACTCTTGCTCCTTATTTGAAATTTCCCTGTCTCCGTCGATTCTCAGCATTTTCTGGGTCTCTCTGCTCGTTTATTTGGTATGTAATCATCTATTAATCCTCACTTACGTTTGTTTAAACCAATAATCTCTCATCTCACATTTGTTGAAGCTGTTATTTTGAACTGGGTTTGCTGTTGTTGCTATCATTTTGAGCTGATTATTGTTGGCTGCCTTGATTCATCTTCTTCACTTTCGTTTGATTTAAACTGGATTTTTCGTTGCCATTATGTCGCTTCCCGTTTCTTTCTTCTTTTCCTTTAGAAGATTCATCTTTTTATTGCTGTTACTTTGTTTCCTATTCCTCTCTTCAATTCGATTGTTGGATCGAATTCATCGAATTAAGAACAACCAGCGACAATTGCCTGATTTTTATTTGGGTTTAAATCAGAGAACGTCACTTTCCCCTAGACCCAAGCTTATATTTGGGTTTAAAGAGACTATATGCATTACTTTCCTATTCCTTTCTTCAATTCGATTTTTATTTGGGTTTAAAGAGACTATATACATAAAGAAGAGAAGAAAGTTGTTGTGCGCCATCATGCCACAACCTTCAATGCTCTGATACCACTTGTTGTGTCATAATGCCACAACCTTCAATGTTCCTATACTACTTATTGTAACGGAATGTCACAACTAAAATGTTTTGATACCCAATTGTTGTAGTGGAATGCCACAACTGAAAATGCTATGATACCTAATTGTTGTAGTGAAATGGCCCAACCACAAATGCTATGATACCCAATTGTTGTTGCGGAATGCCACAACCAAAATAATCTGATACCAAATTGTTGTAGCAAAAGAAAGAAGCAATATCGACCGCACTCACACACCCACAAATAAAATTTAAACAAAGAGACACAAAGATTTATGTAGTTCAGAGAGAAGGAATTCTCCTACATCCACCGGTGGTAGCCAATTAGTATAACCAAAGTGTTTATAAGTGTATCTCTCACACTCTCACACTCTCACACTACGTCTCTCTTACAAAGTTCCTCCCAATTGTCTCTATAAAAATACAAAATAACAATGACTTCACATGATTCCACACGACTCCACACCCCCAAAAAAATGTTAGACAAGCCTTTATATAAGCATAACAATACTAATTCTCATACATGAACCAAATGAGAATATGAATAAAAAGGTTAGTTCTTATGAACTAAATGAAAGTTAATAACTAAAATAAATAAGAATATTAATCAAAATGGTTATAAACTAAATGAGATTTAATAATCAAAATAAATGAGAATCATGACAATTCATCTTCATGAAAATTTACAACAATCTCCACCTTGTCAGAAGATTTCCAAGCAGATAACCGATCTCCATTATCGTGATTCCATTGAGATAGTATATGCTACCTTTTCTAGGCTTTCTAATTACCATCAAAACTCCACTAGCTACTTTCAAATTCCCTTATTTCAGAGTGATACGAGAATCATTCCCATCCAAGACACCAAGGGAAAGATTTAAGAAATCTTTGTTAGGACTATAGACACAATCTTTGTTGGTTATTTTCGTCATTTATTTTGCTCAACAAGTGGTATCAGAGCGCCAAGTTGTGGTATTTGGGGTAATGTGAAGGATTTAACCTCATCGACCACTAGATGTGCTCATATTCACCATCAATTTCCGAAGATAGGTTTCTCATCACAAGCTTGTTTATTTGTTCTTGGAAATCATATTTCCAAGATTTGTGATAATTTCTATCCATTCGAATTTTGTTGGCTTTGGTTGCTCAATTTAATTTTGAGCTTGCACAACTTGGTATGAAAAAACTGTTTTCTTGTTTGGAGATTTTGAAGAAGAAATATATATGACACTAACCCTTTGATTTTCAAGTAGTTGTGTAACAACATTTGACATACGGATTGAAGAAATCTTTGTATGGGCTGTAGGTGATATTTGTTATTGGAAATCATATTTCTAAGATTTGTGATAATCTCCATCCATTTGGGTTTTGTTGTGGTTGCTCAATAATTTTGAGCTTGCACAACTTGGTATGAAAAATTGTTTTTTTGTATGGAGATTTAGAATTAGAAATATATATGACACAGCCGGTTGCTTTTCAAGTAGTTGGACAACAACATTTGATACGTAGATGGAAGAAATCTTTGTATGATGTGAGGTATGTCCTAACTAAGATTTCTTAATTTGATTTCCCTTGGTGCTTTGGATGCGAATGGTTCTCATATCACTTTGGAATAAGGAAATTTGAAAGTAGCTTGTGGAGCTTCGACAATAATTAGAGGGACTAGAAGAGGTAGCATATACTACCTCAATGGAAACACGATAATGGGGATTGGTTATCTGCTTGGAAATTTTCTGACAAGGTGGAGATTGTTGTATATTGTCATGAGATGAATTGTCATAATTCTCATTTATTTTGGTTATTAAATCTCATTTAGATTATTACCATTTTGATTAATATTCTTATTTATTTTAGTTATAAATTTCCATTTAGTTCATAACCATTTTGACTAATATTCTCATTTATTTGGTTCATGGATGAGAATTAGTATTGTATGCCTATATAAAGGCTTGTCTAGCATTGTTTTGAGGTGTGGAGTCATGTGAAGTCATTGTTATTTTGTATTTGACTAGAGGCAATTGGGAGGAACTTTGTTAGAGAAACTTTGTAGTGTGAGAGATACCGAAGTAAACACTTTGGTTATAGTGACTGACTATCACCCATGGATGTAGGAGAATTTCTTCTCTCTGAGCTACGTAAATCTTTGTGTTTCTTGGTTTAATTTCTGCTTGTGGGTGTGTGAATGCCATCGATTTTGCTTCCGCATTTAGGCTACAACAATTGGATATCAAAGCTCTTTGGTTGTGCCATTTGAGCACAACAAGTGGTATCAGAGCTTTTGAAGGTTGTGGAATTATGGCGCACAACAAGTGGTATCAGAGCTTTTGAAGGTTGTGGAATTATGGCGCACAACAAGTGGCATCAGAGCATTTGGTTGTGGCATTCCACTACAACAATTGGGTATCGAAGCATTTTTTGTTCGTGCATTTTGCACAACAAGGGTAAGTTAATTGACCATGACTTTCAGTATAATCCGAGTCGAGACTGGGATCCCCGAGTGAGTAAATGCTTTTTTTCCATTGAAATGATAATAAGATTGGGTTATATCTTTTGAGCCCCTCCCACCTTCTAATCCTTCATTACTTTGTTTAGAATCTGTGAAGTTTTATATAAGAGCAGGAGTTTCTGTGATGCATGAGTGAAAATGGGCATAGATTTTATTTTTTCTTTGTAGTTTAACCAGTCCTTGAGATTATTTGATACTTATGAAACTGCAGTGATATATTTTATCTGTGGTCTTATAAATAGTTCATAAGAATTCATAATGGGTTACTCGGTGAAATTGAATATCAAGGAATCGACTTGCTATATTTTGCATCCCATTCTCAAGGACTAGAGAAGCACAACATCAGGGATATGTTCCTTGTAGGTCAATAATATCGACTCAATATGTCCAAAAAAAAAAAAAGAAGCTCAAACTGACAACCAAATCAAGGGCTTTGATTGATCAGGTTGTTGAGCATTTTTTGTTATTGCCTTTCACCCTCATCCATCATCAGTTAAAGTCCCTAAAACTCAGGATGCAGATTAATAAAAGCTTAACTCAAACCAAAACTTGAGTGAGATCATTATAAGATTGTCCAAAAGTTTAAATTGCTTCAATCCCTCGATTGCCAAGGAGTCTAAGGTGCTTCCTTAATATCAAAGTATTCAGTAGATGGAAATATTCTAGGTGGTTTCCAAAAAGTTGAGTTGATGGAAGTAGTTTTGTGAGATTCTACGTCGTTTGGAGAGGGAAACAAAGCCTTCCTTATAAGGGTGTGAATAGTAGAGCGTTTTAAAACTTTTAGGGGAAGCCGTTGAAGGGAAAACCTAAAGAGAACAATATATGTTAGTGGTGGGCTTGGATGTTACAAGTTCTCTTCATCCAAATTTTTTTTTAGAGGTTTAACTTTTTTAATTAATTCACAGACTTATTCTTGTACAAATGAGACTTCTAATCAAAGTCATTCTATTCCTACTCTGTTCCCCTTTCACTTTTCTGTTCGTGCAGCATCAAGGGAGAAGAGAGCTGATGGTGGAAGTATGGTGGTCGCTCTTGGGGGCAGCTATTCCAGCAGTAGTTGCAGGGCAAGCATACATAATGAGAAGAAGGCATTCCGAGGAACAAAAAATAAAGACCGCCAGGGGAAGGGAGAAGAATCCAGATGACATTTTTGTCTGTGAGAGGGTCTGCACATCAAAGCGAATGTTGAAAAAGGTAGGCTCTTTCTCAAAAGACCCGATTCCCGACACTTGCGTGACTGTGTGTGGAGTATCCGAGCTTGATGCCTGCACGGATGCCTGTGCTCGCACTGTCTGTGTGAATCAACATCAAGTGCCAAACTGGAATGACATTTGTCTTAGGAAATGCCAGAGTGAATGTCTTAAGCTTTCGGCTTCACATTCATCTTAGTGAAATGATATGATGTGTAAATGCTGCAATTTTTGGATGCATACCGTGTATTGCATTTTGGAACTTCTGGTTTTCTGGAGATGATGTGAAATGTTATTCTCAATTTATTTACTCAGGTTTTTCTTGCTGGATAATGTCCCGTGGAGTCGGATGAGATGCCTTCAAAATCGTATCAGTCTGCCACTAATAGTTTTGGCCATAGAAAGGAATTATGTATCCATGGATGAGGAAGAACAGGTTGACCGATTTGAAATATGAATCGACTGAAATGGCCTGTCTTATTAAACTGCCGTCAATCAAGGCGGCTCAACAAATTTTTTTAGTTGGATTGAAAGCAGCTTTTGCCACCCATTCAGATTTACTCACCAAAAAAGAAAAATCTTTTTTTTTTTCTTCTTCTTTCTGAAAGTAACCCCCGTCTTCCTGATTGGTCTGATATTCAATTTCGTTTCCCTATATTTTCCAACTGTTTGGTGGCCAACCTTACGCATCTTAATCGTACACATCGAACTAATATACAAACACCCCGAAAACTAAAAAAATATAAACATGGAATTCAATCATAGCATGTGGTAAATTGTTAATTTTGACAAATCTGAGAAGTTGATGAATTGCTCAACTTTCCAAATTTAGATTTCAAATTTGTATTTGAAGGGGGGTAATAAATAAACCCCACGCACCAAAACAGAACAAAAATGGTAAGCGTGTTAGCAGCAATAATCATTGCCAAATTCCTCTAATCGTTTTGCTGTTGATTCTGCAGAGATTTCGCAGGTGATTTGGGGTGAAGTTTATCAAAGTTCAAATTCACACACTCTTTGGCGGCAAACAAAGGGAATTCTAACATGACGAACCAAACTTGGGGAAAAAAGATAGAAGCACGACGACAGGTCAGCTTGACGAGGACCAGCCATATTAAAGTTGCAAGTCTTTCCCCTCTGGCCCACCGCCACTACCCCCCTACCCGACCCACCCTTTATTCCTCCTTTTATCCACTCTCTTAACAATCCCCTCATAATTACATCTATTATCCAACTCCGGCGAGGTCTCCGGACCCCCGGCGGTGCTTTCATGTCGGGATCTGCCGACCAACGTAAGCCGCCAATCGCTCGGCCTTTCCCACTCTACAAGCAGCTGTCATGGTCGCCTGACGCCGACCGTGAGGATGCCTGGCTCCGTCGCAAAGCCCAGAGCAAGATGCGGCGGAGCAAGAGCGTGACCGACGACGACCTCGAAGAACTCAAAGCCTGCGTGGAGTTGGGTTTCGGATTCAACTCGCCAGAGGTGGACCCTCGACTTTGTGAAACTTTGCCGGCGTTGAGCTTTTACCAGGCCGTCAATAAGAACTACAATCACTCTCTCTCCAATTCGTCGGCGTCTCTCTGTTCTTCCCCTGGGTCCGGCTCTGTTTCTCCATCCGCCCAGAGCAGCCCCGCCGCCATAATCAGCCACGGTATGTTACCTCCCTTTTTTTTTTTTTTTTACAACCTCTAATGAAATTGAATAGAGAAAATTATATGAATCTTATTGTTTTGATTTTGGTTTTTCTTGTTCTGATTGGATGCTTTGGAAATTTGGAACTGGGTTTTCAGGGGAGAATCCGCAGACGGTGAAAGCAAGGCTGAAACAATGGGCGCAGGTTGTTGCTTGTTCAGTACGGCAGTATTAATTCTTCCTAATCAATTTCAACTCCAAATTTGCATTATGTTTTTTATTTTTCCCGTCAAACTTCCGTTTTTGACTTGACTATAAATTCTAATCAATACATACACATTTAGATTGAATCCTGAATTACCCAAGTTGTTCGTTTCTTGAATTCTGTGTGTTCCGAAATTCTGTTGTGGAAGGCACTCCAATGTCAGATTTATTAAATTGGAAGAATTGGGTGGAAGCTGGTTGTATCTTCCACGCCTTCCTTCTTCATGTTGATGAGATGTGTTTCTGATGTTTGTGTCTTCATATGATCTCTAGGAATTGAAGGCTACGTCTAAAATTGTTTAGTTGTTTTTTATTAATTAATAATTTATTAGTATTACAACCATACTCATGGTGGATTAGTTTTAGTGGGCTATGAAAAGAAATGATGTGGAAATGGAACATTCAACTTTGGTCGTTAACAAAACAAATAGATGCTTTATTCTTAAAGTAATGCTCGTGTTTGCATGTTATGGAAGCCAATGACTTTTTAATACCTTAGATTAAATCAATCTATGTAATCTCAATTATTTACAATTTTGTTCTTCAAAATTTAGTTTTGGGTCTCTTCCGTCTCTTAAAAATATTTTATACTCACAAATATCATTTATAAAATAACTTCAAATTTTACACTTTTGATAGACATAAAATTCAAATTTATATCTAATATTTTTTTTTTGAATATCAAATTTGTGATTCACCTCACAAAATAAAAAATTTTAAAAATTTAGAGTTCCATTGATACAAAATTGAACGACAACAAATAAAAATAATAAAAAAAAAAATTAGTCGACAAATAGTTTGGTTCACATGTAATTTGGGATTGTGTAGTGTTTGTATTTCGATTTTCATAAGCTGATTTTGATGTAATCATAAAAAATTAAATTAAATTAGATTAAGATATGTGGATGAGATTCATGGAAGCAGATGGCTTATAAGGTTGGAGAAGGGGTGGCAGACTATTAATTAATGGGGCCTTGATGGAAAGCCCAATTATAGGAAAGAATTGAATTATAAGGGAAGCCCAGTTAGATGGAAAGCCCAATTATAGGAAAGAATTGAATTATAAGGGAAGCCCAGTTAGATGGAAAGCCCAATTATAGGAAAGAATTGAATTATAAGGGAAGCCCAGTTAGATGGAAAGCCCAATTATAGGAAAAAATTGAATTATAAGGGAAGCCCAGTTAGATGGAAAGCCCAATTACACGGAAGAATTGAATTATATGGAAAGCCCAATTATAGGAAGAATTGAATGATATGGAAAGCCCAATTATAGGGAGAATTGAATTATATGGAAAGCCCAATTACGGTGAAGAATTGAATTATAAGGTGTAATGCTTGTAATCCGTCTTCAACTAAATCTTCTAACTTGTATTCAATTCATTCCATCTCTCTAAATAAATGATTATATCATTGTCTAATATTTACTCGTTTCAATAATTAATTTTAAAAAGTAATTATTAATTATTATTAAGCTAACCAAATTTGTTAATTAGTAGGTAAGACACAAAATATTATCTCCAAATTTATGGTTTAATCTCGCGTACCATGTCGTACTACAAAAAGTTGACAAAGAAATATACGTAACGTATGTAATGATTTTGTTTCCCAAACAAATTAACGAAAGAGAGTGCAAAATCTACCTACCTACCTTACAAAGTTATGTATCTCGTAATTAAATGTACCGTACTGTACGAAATCATATATCTCGTAATCAAAACATACGTTACTAAGTTACGTCATTCTAATCAACACCGCGACAACAACACTCCATCCATTTCCAAAAGAGGAAAGGGGGTAATTCCAATTTCCGCTTACGTCATTGACATCTTTTTTGTCGTTCTTGATAAGATTTGCTATCTTTAATTATGTAACGGCACCTGAAACTTAGATTCGCTCAATAATGGTATATTCGGTTATTCACCTAGATTCCAAACATTTTCTTCATTTATAACGGTCAATAAATTTGAAGAAGCGAAAGATGTTATTAAATAATAACAATTATGGGTTAGTGTAAGAATGACTATGAATGAGATGCAGTAGTAGGGTGACAAGTACTTATTTATTAGGATGAGAGGGTAAGATAGGTTTGAATGTGGTGTAATTTTTGATAAAGTTTTGCATAAATTATTAAAGGAGTTAATTATCCATTTTAGGCAGAAGAAAATGACATTATAAAGATTGAAGTCCCATAATTGAAAGGTTACATATTGTTAACTTAATTAAAGTATAGTGTTATTGTAGGGATGAATATGTAAGTGTATTAGAGAGAGTAATTAAAGTATAGTGTTATTATAGGGATGAATATGTGAGTCGATAAGAGTGAATAATACAAAAAGGGGAGGGTTTCCATATTTTGTGTGAAGGAAATGACAAAGAAGAGAGGATGGAAAATATGGGATTACAATTTAGGGTGACAGAAAGGCAACCATATTATGTGGTTATACGGTTACGGAGCAGCCTGTTTGACAGATGTGAAGCCAAAAATAGGGAAAACAGCGCCATATTTGAATGGGTTAAGGGGAGAAGGGGGGGAAAAGGAGGGAAAGGGAGGGAAAACCTCCGCACCCTCACCCCCTTCGGCATGCTTGTAAACTGTATGGACAACACAGATTGAACGTCTAATTACGACGCACCATCTACGCTACCTTTTTATGCACTCTTTTATTTATCTCAACGGCTTTCCAATTCAAGCCTTCTTTCTCCTCCTTTTTTTTTAAGAACAAAACAACAAAATGAGGAGCCTTCTCATGCCTTTTTCCCCCCCACCCACACGGATTAAGCAATGCAATACCCCTCTCAAAACCCCTTCATACTCTTGTTCTATGCAAATTACGTGTTTGCCCCCCTCAACCTCATCTTCTCAACAAACCCCAGATGGAGAAAAAAATAAATAAACATGTAACGCTCCTCTGTTTTCACGGCAAGGCGTTGGCGATGCTGCTCATTCATTCCCTTTTGTTTTGTAAAAAGAAATAGATAAATACAAATAAATATATAAAAGGCAACCCGTTCACATTTAAATTCCCGAGGGTGAAAAACTCATAGCATAACACATAACACGCCTCCCCTCCAAAATTAGAATTAAAAAAATAAATAAAAAAGACAGAAAAGAAGGAAACGGATTAGAAGGTTCGAACCAGGTTCCAAGCTTGGGTTATTACTTCCGGGTGTAGTTATTCTACCCTTCTTATCTCTAATGTCATTCTCCTCTTCTTCTTCTTTATAAAGGGGTTGAGGTTCCAAGCTTGGGAACTCCTCACCGCTCTTCTTTCTTCTCTTACAATCTAACCATCATCTAATACAGCTTCATCCATGGCTCACATCTCGCATCCCGCGCCCTTTCTGGTGAAGGCCTACCAGCTCGTCGACGATCCTGCCACCGACGACATCGTTTCCTGGAATGAAACTGGATCAACTTTCATCGTATGGAAGACTTCCGAGTTCGCTTCAGATTTGCTGCCCAACTATTTCAAGCACAACAATTTCTCTAGCTTTGTCCGTCAGCTTAATACTTACGTAACCCCTCACTCTCTATTTCTCTACAAACATTTCATTTCTTATCAACATTTCAAATTCAAGCATAACATAATAATAGCAACAATAATAATAATACATGCTTTTGTTTTTCCATCCCACCTGGAGGAGTGGAGGGTTATAAATGTCTTTTCACGCGGATGAGAACACATTTATTCAAAAGCTTTTAATTCTTTTTTGTTTGTGATTAGGGCTTTCGGAAAATCGTGCCTGACAAATGGGAATTCACCAACAACAACTTCCGTCGGGGTCAGAACGAACTCCTGTCCAAAATCCGTCGCCGGAAGTCGTCGCACAGATGCCATCGATCCAAATCCAGCGAGGGAGGCAACTCTTCCCCGTCCTACTACTCCGGGGAGGAAATCGGATCCACTTCGAGTTCCTCACCGGATTCGAAGAATCCAGGTATTGTGGACTTGGAAACAATGGCGCAACTCGCGGATCTGACCGATGAGAACAACAAATTAAGGAAGGAGAACGAGATGCTGAACCTTGAATTAGCGAAAGCTAAAGAGAAGTGCAACCACCTCGTGGCTTTTATGACTGACGATTTGAAGGTGGCGCCGGAACTGATCGACAACATCGTGAAGAAAGTGGAGAACAACAACAGCAACAACAAGGGTGCAGATCTGAAAGTGAACCGGGAGAAGATGGAGGAAGAGAGTGCAGGTGATCTGAAACTGTTTGGGGTTTGGCTGAAAGGAGGGAAGAAAGAGAAGAATAATGATAAGAATAAGACCAAAAGAGAAGAGGAGCAGAAAGTGGAGGAGTGCAGCAACGAACCGGAGGCGAAAGTGATGAAGACGGCTGAGATGGAGGAGGCATTGGCGACAACCAGCGATGCCGGCAACTGAGGAGAGAGGGCGTTTGGTACCAGTAATAATAATAATATAATAATAATAATATAATAACTACTACTTCTAAGTAGCAGTTTGTAGAGATCAAAATGTAAGAAGGGTGGAGATGATGAAAGGTAAATGGGTGTCCCATCTATTTTACCTTCAAAATCTTTGTTATGTTATCAAAAACCACATCTTTTATTCTCGTACCTTGTCTTGTTGTTCCTTTCATGGATGTATCCCCTCCTTATCCACACCTTCTATAACTAATATCAAAAACATTTTGATTGAAAGTAGCATGTCAAGTCACTACTAGTTAGTTCTTCATCCAGTCCGCCTAGAGAGCGGACCCATTGTTTATTGAGCAATTTCAATAACATTGTTGAAGTGAAACATTAAGCAATGTTCTTGTTTCTCCCTAATCGCCACATTGGACGCATTGACTGATGCTCTGTAATCTTCTCTAAGGAAGTCGTTAGAGATTCAATTTTATCGCAAGGACTGTATATGTAATATCAGAGCCTTGGTCAACTTTGATAAGTATTGATTAAATTTTCATTTTTTTTTTGTTTACAATTTAATCACTAAAATTAAATTATATAAAAGTGTCTTATATTTTTATAGTTTGTTATTAAGCAAGTAATTACTATATTGATCAACTTAGTGGGGTACTATATTAAGGAAAAAAAAAAAAGGTTCTTCCACAACTTTGACCTTTCATATTTTCTTCAAACATTAACCAAACGATGCGGTTTTGGTCCCATTAGATTCTAGTGGAAGAGCTCTACAAGATTTGTGAATGGAGAAAACTCAATCAGTGCCTACGACATGAGATGTGAGTGGCGGAAGAACCGAGCACAGGGAAAAATGTCTCGGTAAGTTCTGGAAAAAAAAAAAAACAAACAAACTCAGAACTTCAAACGCTAATAACTTACTCGTTTTTTAATGAAAAACCGCGATCTTGGTGTCTATGGGTTCAGCTTGAAGAGTACTACAACTTTGTCGAAGAAAGAAAATTCATTTGATTCTTAGAATGAGAGCTACGAGAGGCGAAAATAAGCAAGGAGAGAAGGAATTTTCTGCAAAAAAGGTGCAGAATTAAAAAAAAGTCAGAAGTGACGTCATTAAATTAGGTCATCAGTGACGGGATGATGATGTCAGCTGAACGTAAGTATAAGCCTTTTGACCTTTTAAAGCTTTCCTGAGTCCAGTTTTTTTTTCTTTTTTTTTTTTTTTTAGCCTTCATCAATTTTATTCTCTAATTAATGTAGAGCATATTTGTGGAGTTTGATGAAATTTATAATTTTTAAAGACCTAAACGTGAGCAAAATGTATCATACGAACAAAAAATATTAAATGTTACCGCACATGTTTCTTAATATATAATCTATAGAACTTTAATTTAAATAGTAACATGCCTTTAATATTATTAATAGTATGTTATAAAAAAAATTATCAAGATTTGAGCCCGGAGGAGGTTGATTTATTTTAGGTAAGAGTAGGTTAAATGTTACTTTTTTTTTTTTTTTTTTGAAAGACATGAGTTGAGCTCTGATTCAAGTGAAACTTAAATTATGACTCTTCGTCCGTATTTAGTAACTATTTAAATTACTAAGTTGAGTTTAGGTTGAACGAACTAACTTAACCTAACCTACTCTCAGGAACGAACTCTTAAAGATAGAATAAGACGGTGAATGAATGAAATTCATTTTATAAGAATTAAGAACAAACTATAAACTATCACTCTTATTTCTTCAATTTTCTTTTAGGTTGAATTTGATGTAACAGTGGACCAGAAGGGTCCTATTACACTTTGGGCCTAGATTTCCTTCTGTGTTTGTCCTTTTTATTTATTTCTCTGTCAATGAGTTAGGGTCCATGGCCCAAGTCCGTGAAGAAGTGGATCGTTAGCCTACCAAATCAAGTTTTAAACAATTTAATTAAGTAATTAGAATATATGTTAATTATTTAGTCATTAAGTAATTACTAATTATTTATTTGATAAAATTATCTGGGAAGGTAAATTAATATTATTCTTTAAAAGTTGAAAATAGAAAAATAATTTTTATTCATTCCTTCCCCTGTTCATCCTGCAATAATCATAAAACAATTTGGAAAAAAGATGTTTTTGTAAACGTTTATAAAAGAAAATGTTTTGGTGATTCTATTTTCAGATAGGATATAAAATAGAAATGGGTAGTGGGAATGGCTGCGCTTTGGCACGTGATTATATATTTTTTTGTCTTTTTGCACAAAGTAACGATGGGATGGATGTTTAGCCGACGATCGTCCTACATCACTTTCAACCACATAATAAAAACATGTCATAATGTGAAAGAGGAAGTCCTTTTCAAAATTAAATAATTAAAAAAACATTTTAAAAGCTCGGACGAATAAATTAATATTTGAGCTGTCTCGGAAAAAAAAAAAAGTATTTAATAAAAACTCTTTAATATAGGCTTTTGGTTTTATTTCAAATGAATTATCCTAAGTTGATGGCTCTATTTTTTTATTTTTTATTTTTCTTTTCTTGGACTGACTGTGGGGTTTGTGTTATTTGGTTGATGCATGAAAGAAATAAAAATTCAGATTAAACATTTTGAAAAATAGTAAAAAGAGGTGTGAACAAAATTGAATTTGTAAAGTTTTGAATTTTGATAGGACATTGAATTGTGAGTGTCAGTATCAGCCAGCTGCTAAGTCGTTGTGGTGTGGACAACTACAGTGCCGTCTTTTTTTGTTTGAATTCTTTTCAAGTCGTCAACCGTTCTCTCAGCAGTGACGCAATATTATCCTAAATTATTATTATTATTAATATTGCTATAATCTCATCAATGACCCAGTATCATCCTAATTTCTTTTTTTTTTTAATTTTTTGAACCCAAAAATTGTTTGAAAAAAAAAAGGCATAAAATAGATTTAAATTTAGAATACAAAAACTAAATAGTTTGAAAATTTCATAAATAATCTTAGTTTTTATCGACAGAAAAAAAGGATGATTGGCCAAGCAATTGCTAACATGAGTTTTTTGAAAAGAGAAATTAATTGCTATTTGAAGAGAGTTGGGTTTGTGTTATTGATAGAAAAAGGAAAAAAGTTAGGCTTGGAGAGTGTGGGACAGCGCCTTATCATTCCTCCATGCCAACCTAATTCCCACCTATGCACACGGTACACAGTACACCAAATGTGCTTTCAATCAAATCTTTCCATTTTTTATTTTAATACACCGCGTTAAGAATGAGAAATGGAAATAGAATCGAGAAGATGTGTATTCTTATTGATATTGGTAGGGACTCAGTCTAGACTTAAGGTTTGTATTTTGAAAAATAAAACTACGTTCACTTCAATTTAAAATGTAAATATGTTTCTCTTTCCTACAATTCTTTCACATATGAGTATTTATTTATTTATATTATTGTAATAGGAATTATAATTTCCATCTTTCTTTATAAAAATGAGGCTACACAGAATATTCATCTTTCTTACCTTAAAAGTTTTCAATGAGGTAATATTCTTAAGAAAGATAAACTCAAAATTACTCAATTAACCACCAATCTTCTTTAACGTTACAAATAATGAATTAAAATTAGTATTTGAAAAAAAAAAAACAAAAAAATTGACGTGAGGGCAAAGTAGTAATTGAACCAGAAGAGAGGAGAAAGCAGGATGAAGTTACACGTGTACCATAAAGTAGAAAAGAGAAAGGACATGGAGGCGCCACGACAGCAGAAATAAATTGAGTTCCGGCTCGAGAATTGTAAAGGTGGTGAGACTTCTTTGGTTGGAGCTGCCAACGTCACACATCAACGAAGCTGGTCTACGTGTCCTCTCCGCAGTTTGGGCAAACTTGGAATCCCACTCTGTAATCCAAATTCCGTCTTGGATTTGCCCCACGTGCCGACCTCCACTCCTTCTGTCGTATAAACCGTGTGTAACTGCCACGTAGACTCTCCACCAAAATCTTTACACATACAAATTCCTTCGCCTCCCTTCGCCCTCACTCACTCACTCACCATTTTCCACTTCCAACTACAGCTCTCACACTTTCCAAGAAAACGGATGTCTGGTTCTTCCGGAGATTTGGATTCTGTTCCGTTTCATTCGACGTGTAAATTAGCAGTTGAAGAGGAGCATTCGATCATGGTTTCGGCACTGACACACGTGGTCAGCGACGGCAGAATTGGGCTAACCCACACCCAGTACCAGCTTCTAGCAGCTTTTGACGACGCTCAGCTTCCAGCTATTGAACTCTGGTTTCCCAGTGGCGACACGTGCGAGGTATGCCGGATTGTTGGCTGCTTGGGATGCAACTATTTCCAAGACGGAAATTATAATCATAATCATAATCACAATCAAATTCAAAATGTTGTGCCGGTAGAAGAAGATGAGGAGAAAGATCAAGATGAAGAGAAGAAAATAATTGTGGGCAATAAGAAGAGAAGGATGAAGAGGACATTCAGGGGAGTGAGGCAGAGGCCTTGGGGGAAATGGGCAGCCGAGATTCGTGACCCGAGACGGGCCACCAGAGTGTGGCTAGGCACTTTCGACACAGCAGAGCAAGCGGCGAGGGCTTATGACAGAGCTGCCATTGAGTTCCGTGGGGATAAGGCCAAGCTCAACTTTCCTGCTTCAGATTACCAAACCACAGAGCAGGAAGAGAAACCCAAATTGGAAATCCAGGAATGACGGCCCTTCTTTATATACTTCCGTATATGGAAGCTTCTTAATTAATTAATTAATTAATTAATTAATTTAAGTTTTTTATTTTATTTTAGAAAAAATAGAGGTACAGCTCCACAGGGAGGGCTGCATCCGAAATGTGGCAGCCTTGTTCTGCGTTTTTATATATGATACAAGGCATCTCCATCTCTATGTTAGTTAACTAAAATCAAGGAAGATGTAGAGGATGGGAGCATTTGGGGCTCTAAGTTAAGAACATGTGTTTGGATGAGCTCAGCTACGTCACTATCAGTCTTGCAGTTGAACTGTCAATCTATAAAAGGAATAAAATGAATATATGTTCTTTTCCCTCCAACAAGTCAACGAACTGCGGCAGGTTATAATAGAATTCAAGGCCAAAAAAAGGAAAAAAAGATATTATATAGTCCAGGCTGGATTTAGTTGTGGACGGCGGTGAACCACCCAGCTTTACGAGATGTTTTGTTGTACATTTCAGGTGTGGGTCAACTGTGGCACTGGACTTGGTTCTTTTTCATTGTGGATTCAGTTTTAAAAGACAGAGTCAAAAGCCAAAATTACGCGAAGTCCATGTCGTATCATTTTACTAAATCTAATTGGTCAAAGATTTTTCATGTAAAACGACTAGAGAATTGGTTATGTCCACTACATAAGTATCGAACATTTGAACTTGAACAAACCACAATCAAATTATCCCTTTTAGTTTGGAATGACATCCAATTCAAACTGCAGTAGCAAGGGGCTCTAGCCTCCCATAATGCTCGTATTCCATTACTGAACCTGCATAATAATATTAAATTGAGCTACGTGTTTCCCTGCATAATAATATTAACGGCCAAAATTGCTTAACAACACTTGGCCATAACCAAGTTAGATAGATCATTCTTCAATGCTTTTAAATATGAACAATAACTAGGAGGGTCACTCTTTCAAACTTGACATCAATGCCTCTAACACGCAAAACCATATTAACACTTTAATAGGTATGAAAGTTGATTCCTCAAAGTCAGATATTTTGTGATTAATAAGTTTATAGCAACATCTTTTTACACATTTAAAATATTGTCAATACCAATATGATTCAACTACATAGATATTTATTTTTTTAGTGGTTGAAAATTTTTGAAAATGTATTACATTATATTGTAAAAATAAAAAACCTTTCCTAATTTAATCTATGAATGTAACCATTCTACTTTTTATACTAATTATAAAGTAGACCAACGTACTTTCTAAAATTTGAAAATAAAAAATATCATTAATCCCATTTAAAAAAAAAATGTCGCACTAAAATTAATTAAAAAAAAGAAAAGAAATTTAACTCCGACTTGCTTACGCGGAAGATGGAAAAAGAAAAAAGAAAAGAACTTGTGGTTGTCCATTTTATTTTAACTCACAAGTCACAAGGCAGAAGAGAAGCACGTGAGGTTTGTGTTCAGGAAAGACCTCAGCCCTCGAACTCGGAAGCAGGCAGGTGAGAGCGCTGTGCAGCGGTGCAGCGACCATGGCAATTGATGGAATTGAAGCCTTCTCGCCTCCCTCTCACCCATCTTCCCATTTCAGGTATTGCTGTTGCTGCCGCCCTCTTTTGTATTTTACAAACCTTTCTTTCGATATCCAGTGATCCCCATTTTGTTTCGCTTTCTCAGTCACCAGCGCCACTTCTATGTTGCCGTCGACAGGCTCCAGTTCAAGATGGTCCTCTTCTCTCAATCTACGCTCACACACATTTTTTGGATTTCAATTCCTGTGTTTGGTTGATATTTTTCGTTGGGTTTTGCTTTGCTCGGTCAATTTTTTTTTTTTTTTTCTATTCCTTTTATACGGTGTGTATTTGGCAGGAAACATTAGTGGGTTTGTTGGACGTAGCCGGTCGCCGTCCGTCCTTGCCGATGATTGTGTGTTGTAGTTCTCGCGACGAGCTCGATGCTGTCTGCTCCGCTGTCTCCAACCTCCAATACATCTCTTTGGCATCTTTGGTATCGTTATTTTTGCTCAATAAAAGTTTTTCTATATGAAATTCGTGAAATGCGTCTAGAAATTCCCAACCCTGAGCCGGATATATGCATCATTTTGTGCCACTGAATGAATAATTTGATCTCAAAGCAACGACTTACCTCAATTGATATTCAATTTGATCATGAGTCATGTCTTTACTTTGGACAGGATCGGTTCTATAGGTTTATTGTTAATCTGGATCCTAGTTCTGTGGATAAGATGCCTGAACTGGTAGAGTGCCATCAGTACACTGGTAATCCCTATTATTAATATACTGAAGCAGGCTGTAGTAAATAATTTCAATCGGTAATGGAAACCAACTGATGAAACTAATCAATATGAATCCTAATTGTGCTAGCTAGATGATAGAAATGCTTTTAGGATAGAATTAGGAGTATTATTAAGGCATTAAGCTATATTGGTAATTAATTAGAGTAGCTATGATGATTTGTTATTAATAGAGTGAAAAAGGATGGAGGTAGGCAATTGTTTAGATGGTTTAGGCTTGAGAGTGTATGCTCAAGAGTGAGGAGGTTCCAAGTATCTCAAATACTTAGCTTATCTTGTATTTCTTCTATCTCATATCTTTAAATATCCTTCTAGTTGTTTGGATCCTAAGTCACTAGATTAGCATCCTTTTTTTTTTCCACTGATGATTTTAGTTCACATCATCACACGTTTGTTATTGTCTTAAACTCCTGTCGACATAGTAGTGATGTAGGAGTTGGTTATAATAGTTCAGTATTCTTTTTTTAGTTTTTAAAGTACTTAGCTGTTAAATCCTAGCTAACTTTGAATCATCATGAAATCCTTTTGAATTATAATTCTGGAGAATTCGACTTATGATTTAGGCTATACACCACTTGTCTTAATTCTTTTTTTGTTAAGTGATGGGAAGTGTCGATTGAATATCAATTGGTTTGATGATAAGATCACCCTATACAATTTACCGTTTTCAGTATCCTCCATCCTACAGTTTTTGAATACTGCTATATTATTTTGACCCCGTATGCAGCCATTTGTTATTTCTGTTGTATGTTCATTTACTTTTACTTTGTGGTTGTTACAGTTTTAGGATCAAGTTTTTGCACTAGTTTTTACTTCTTTTTGCAAGGGAAAATTACCCCTTTTTAAACCTTACAACGAGTACATTTTGTCTTCTTTCTTCAAGCCAATATGTTACTCATGTTGGCATACATATCGGGTAGCCACAATACTGTGGTTACTTTGTGAATGGACAAGATTACTTGCTGTTTGACTTATATTGATGTATTGCATTTATTGCTTGTCTTATTCAGTACAGTGACCTTGCTGAAGCAGACCGTGCACTGGTTTTAGAGACATTTCGGCAAACAACATCGAGGTGGAGCCAAAAGCTCAGTTCTCTATCAGATGACAAATGTGAGGTTGAGGAAGATGGTGAAAAATCTCACATGATTGTAGTAACAGACGCTTGCCTTCCACTTCTTGCTTCTGGGGAGTCACCTCTTTCTGCCCATGTTTTGATAAATTATGAGCTACCAACAAAGAAGGTTTAGTTTTCGGACTTCAGGATTATATGAGCTGATAATTTGTAAAAATCTGTATTAGAACTTGAGTGTGTTTATTTCAAAAATCACTTCTGTCATGTTGACGCTTAGTTTTAATCATTCAAAATCAACTTAGTATTTAATTTTACCCTTTTAAACACGATTTTTATTCCATATAAATTGATTTTGAATAATTAAAAACATGTTTGGGAGTGATTTTGAATATAAAAAAAGTGATTTTAACCATCTCAAAATCACTTCCAAAATGCCTTCCAAAATGCCATATATCAATGATGCTTCACTTTCGTTTTTGCCTCAATATTACTGAATTTCTTATCCTCTTTGTATTGCTTCTAATGTGCATCTGAAATCATTATTCGACCATTCAAAACGGTGGTTGTAGGTATGAGTTTCTATTAATAAGTTGCATGATTGTACAACTCTTCCTATTGCTTTGTGTTACTGGTCTTTCTTAAACAATCTCATAGCAGAGACTTAGATATTAAAAAACTTACATGAAGTGTATTCATAACGTCATACGGTGATTTTCATTGCAGGAAACGTATATGAGGCGCATGACTACCTGCTCGGCCTCAGGTTATTCTTCTATACTGCAATGGATTATGATATAAGCTGCAGGGATTAGGTTAATCTTTATGCATACTTCCTTTGCATTTATATCCAGATGGGATCTTAATCAACATGGTTGTTGGGGGAGAAGTGGTAACTCTCAAAAGCATTGAAGAAAGTAGTGGCCTTGTTATTGCCGAGATGCCCATTAACGTAAGTTTGTTACTTGCTTTGATCTTCACGTGTTTTAGATGGATAAAATTTTTGCTAAGGATATCAGTTTCCCAAATAATTGATCCTGAATATTACTAAACAAAAAAAAGTCAAATCATAGTACTGCTTCTGGGTTTTATACAACTGCTGAAGTTGGAAAGAGACCGTATTGCAGATTTCTGAAATTTTATGAGAATGCATCTGAAGACAACACTGAAGGTTTGCTTGTAGAGATTGTCGGTTAGACCACAACGATCTTGAATTGTGTCATCTGATCAACGAAGGAGGTGTTTGCCTAACAATTGATCATATTAATGATACCTTATGTTTTCAGATCATTCGTTGTTATAAATTGTAAGAACAAAATTTGTAATATAACATTTTAGTCGTTACTTTCTTTTGGATGTTATATATCACAAATTCGGTTCAAATTAACCAACATCTTCTCAAAAGAAAAGAAGCCTGACTTTTAAGCGAGAGGAAAAACTTAGGTTGTGAAATAGTATTTATGTGGGAATAACGTGGATCTTCTTGTTTCCTTCACGAATGGGGTGCGAAGAAAACTGGACCCAATTGATCGAAGACATTATGGGTAGGGGACATGCATGCTCACCTTAAGAAACATATACTATTATCCCATGAGATTTGGACTTTATTGCATTTGAGTTCGTGAGAGAAATATTGCAACAATTGCAACTTTTATAAACATAACTGGAAAATTTAGACGAAGAAGGAATAATGTATGGATAAATGGTGAGAACCAAAGAACAGTTTAGCCCTCCGACAGTCGAGTCTGGAAGAATCTAAGACTAAACCCGTAACTTACACGTGTCATATAATGTAGCCTTCAAATTTCATTCCTGTTGTTTGCAACTCAATTCTGAACATCGCCGCCTTTGGCCTGAGCGCACAAAGTTTCCCACCAAGTTAGCGAGCGAAACCAGAGTCCTCTCTTCCGCCTCATCCTCTAATCCACAAGCTAACCCTCTTCCTTCCAGATGGACTCCATCCCTTTGAACTGGGAAGCTCTCGATGCCCTAATCATCGATTTCGCCAGATCAGAGAATTTGATTGAGGATTCCTTTTCATCCTCCCCACCTCCTTCTCCTTCCCCTTCCCCTTCCTCGCTTTCCTCCTCCTCTTACCATTCCAGGCTGATCATCCGCCAGATCAGGCGCTCTTTGGAGGTCGGTGATATTGATTGCGCCATCGATCTCCTCCGCCTTCATGCACCCTTCATTCTCGACGATCATAGGCTTCTTTTCCGGTTGCAGAAGCAGGTCACTCTAATTCTGCTCTCTCTCT